TCTTCCGATAAATTAATGTCTTTACCCCACTACCTTCTTCAGGTCATTTCTCAAATGTCACCTTTTCAGTGAGCTCCTCCTTGACCTCCCCCCCCCACCACCTCAGCAATTCCTATCCCTCTTTCCAGCTTGATCTTTATGATCAGCATTTAATCACTCTCTAACATACCACACAGTTGGCCTCTTTGCCTTGTATATTGTTGCTTCCACCAGGTTTGACTCTAAGGGCAAGGATATTTTTTTCCTCCTATTTTGCTCACTTCCGTGTCTCCAGAACAAAGTCTGTCTCATAGAAGTTTCTCAACAGATACGTGTTGAATGAATGAAAGAAATGAACCAAATACCGCCTTCTTCATTTGCAAATAAAAGGCCTTGATAAACTTGGACTAGGAGAGTATGTAAAGCTTGGGCCATTCCAATCTTAAGAGACAATGTTAAGTACAACTAAGGGAAGCGGCCTAGTTCGTAAGATGTTTATCAGTCATTATGTCTTGCTATATACCACAACAAATTTAGCAAATTTACTATTTTGTAATGTTATAATATTTCTGCCAGAGAAGAAAGGAAGCCTGCTCTCACAGAGAAAAGTTTGAGTGAGCTGTCATCACTGCCAGTTCTGTTAAGGACAAAAGCGGGAGGCAGCTCATCTCACACGGGCAGAAGCACGGTCAGGTCCATTGGCAGGCACTTGGTGGAACACACCTCTCACTAAGGTTAACCCATGTTAACAAGGGGGTCAGACGGGGTGGCACCAGGCTGACCTTATCGGTAATCAGAACGTTAAACTTCTTCCATACCAGTTGGTAAACAGCTGCAGCCACCAATCTCCTCTCCTCTCATTACCCTGGTCCCTCCTACAGAACTCTTCAGACGTCTCCATAATCCAGCATGAAAAGGGTTAAAGCCTGCCACCCAAACCCAGATTTTGAGTCAGAGTCACTGAAGCCAATTTTGATTGAATCAGAGGGTCACCACCCCGCCCCCCAACCCCGTGGGTGGGCCCTCAACTGCTGCTTGGACCTCTGAAATAATTAGGAGAAGGGCCCTCAGCGACAAAGAGCTGAGAAAGAAATGTAGTGATAGATCAGCAATATTTAAATATCATTTTGAACAGGACAAAGTTGAAATTAAAATCTTCTTATTGATGATATGTCTCTGTGTCCGGAAACCTTCACTTGCTATCTTATAAAAGTAAGAAATTTAGGGATTGTTAGGGAGAAGGCCAAAGATTCTCCTAGAACAATATGACATTTCATTTTTTAAAATATTGATCTAAAACATCAAAAGGAGTAGAAGATGTCATTTTATTTCTTGATGAGTTTACTTCTGTCAAGCCCTATTCAAGCATGCCTCATTCCTATCACAGACCTAGTTTATCAGTAGGAACACAGTAGGTGAACAATAAGTAATTGGTGAATGCATGAAGTCATGGCAGCATTTGATTTTTCTTCTAATTCCATGCTGAAAATGTGTTTCTTATGTTTGGACCGATTGCTTTCATGTAGTCTGATAGCAACCGGTGTTCCCCTTTAGGTCAGGTTCCCAGCCACTGTCATTTATTGGTCTGTTACCTGATAAAAGCAGTCACAACATGAATTTCTCAGACAGTAGTATCTGTTTAGGAGTTAGAGCTCTTAAATTCTGGTTATAATATAATAAAGCAAATAGCACAGAGATAAAAAAGGGAGGAATGTATACAAAGAGGCTCACAAATTTATATGGACCTAATAACTCAAAGACAGAATAAAAATAAACTCATATATTTCATTTATCACCCTAGAGGTCTTAAAATAAGCTAACTTTTTTTTGTACAGGATATTTATATTTCTATGGATAAAGAATTTAAAATTTGTCCAGATACACATATTTCAGTGTTACAAATGCTAAAACAGTTTTAAGAGCATTTGTGAAGACAGTTGAGGGAATGCACGTTAGATGGGCAAAGCCACGAACGTCTTGGCGGAGCACACGCTTTATAACCTTATTCCGTAAGATTTACCCCCTTCCTCTATTGTACGGGCATGTCATGAAAGCAAATGGACTTACGTTTCCAGACCAGCAACTGGATCATAGGGACTAAGAACGAAGACCTTTGAAGAGAACATGATTGTCACTGCATGTGACCAGGTCAGCTTATGTTACCTGCGTCACTAGATTCAGTGCTATAATCAATGGTAAGTGCTTACTAACTTGGTGATAAAAATGTAAATTTAACAACTGACATAAGATGGGCCAACGCTGGAGTTCTGAAGGAATAAGAATGGTGAGTTTAATCAGCATAGATTAGTGAAAGGAATATAAGTTTTGTTCTGAGATATGAGTGATATTAGTATTAGCATTCAAGGAAATAGCTTAATATACATTTCTTGTTGTCCTGTAAGACAGAGAGACAAGAGTTTTTA